TCTGCCCTGTCATATAGCTATTCATGTGTATGACTGTCTCCTCCACGGAGGGTTCCCTGAGGTCATCTTCATGCCTGATAGTGTCTCACACATGCTGAGCACTCAAATATGTACTGAATTGAATGGAAATTAATTTATAATCCTCACTTAGAGGCACACTTTTTTATCAGTAAAAAACCAAAGATTTTTCTAAACTAGTGATAGAGAAAAATTTCCAAAACAGCAAAAATTTCCTAATCAAAAGAAAGTCAAAACCCGTTTTTCTCACTGACTTCAGTTTGCAATCTGCTTTTAGTGTCAGCCTTGTCCCAGAAACGACTAAGATCATCATCCTTCACGGACCTCCCGACCTTCCCGCCTTCTGGGCCAGGTAATAAAGAACTTCCTAGAACCTCAAGCCTGACATTCTGACTTTTCAAACTCCATTCTCATTAATGATAAGCTTTCTTTTTCAGCTACTATAAAATGCTGACATTTTAGTGGCAAATAAAATAGGGGCCTTAGCAAACTATGCATGGAAGAATACCTTGTGAATTCCAGCCCTGTGAGTCCAGACAGTATATCTTTGGTAGTATATTTTTGGTAGAAACTTGATGATTTTGTTTTTAAGATTTCATATTTATCATAGCACCATTTTATATAAGGCAGCCCTATAAAGTAACTTGCTTTATTTCCCTTATTATTGTTCCTCTATACAGTTTACACTATATGTAGTACTCAAAATATACAACTATGTTTTAGATTTTTATTCTAAAGTTTATGCTTTAAATTTATATTCTAAAGTTTAGAATATGATTCATTTCAAATTTTCACTAATTAAAACATTGTTTCTTTTTATTTAAAGTTTGTAATGCTTTGCTAAGTAAAACTATTTTATCATAATAAAATATTTGAAATGATTGGAACATTCTCTACATTAAAATTATGATTCGTATTCTTGTATGTTTTTGTTTCTACTGAACAACCAACTTGCCTTTTCCAAGTTACCACAAGAAATAGAATATACAAACTATTCATTTCCTTTTAACTGATTCTACCTAGGAACCACAGAGTTTTCAAACTAATGAATTTATCTTAACAATTCTAAGCATGACTAAGCAATAATATGTCAGATACCTTTCAGATACAGAAGAGATATGTTCTAGTTCGCTAAGCCCCATCCATATCTGACTGAAAAGTTACAGACGTTAAGAGGAATAAGGGTCCTAAACCCGGAGGATTTGTTTTATTGTATTTGTGCAAAAAGCAAAGAGATGGCTTTAAATTCTCTGTATAACTGCTTCAATTCATTTTCTAAACATCAGACACACACACAAAAGAATGAATAAAAGAACATAGATGTTAGTAGGCACCATCCCATTTTATGTTGTGTAGAATGTTGCTGTACTGGAACAAAGACAAATAGTATAATTTTATATAGTCCATTCATTGTTAGTTTTCAATAATAAAATCATAGAAAGCATGTAACTGAACTTTGAATTACAGAAGTAATTCTATTCCCAACATGTATAATACAACACTTCAAAGAAGCAATTCTTATTCTTTTCTCATTCTTTCCTCATCTCCATTAATCCAATGCTCAAAGGCTGCTGTTTCTGCAGTTTGCAACCAAGAGATGATTCTTTGAGATGTTTAGTACAGGCATACCTTATTTTATTGAGCTTCACAGATACTGTGTTCTTTTTACAAATTGAAGGTTTGTGGCAACCTTCAAGGCCTTGAGCAAGTCTACGGGAGCCATTTTTACAACAGCATTTGCTCACCTCATGTCTCTGTGTCATATTGTGGTGGTTCTCACAATATTTCAGACTTTTTCATCATTATTATATTAGTATATTTGTTATGGTGATCTGTGATCTTAGATGTTACTATCATAATTGCTTTGAGGTGCTGCGAACCATGCCCATATAAGATGGCTAATTTAATCAGTAAATGTGGATGTTCTGGCTGCTCCACCAACTGGCCTATTCCCCCATCCTTCTTTCTCTTTTCAGGCCTCCCTAGTCCCCGAGACATAACAATGCTGAAATAAGGCTAATTAATAACCCTACAATGGCATTTAAGTGTTCAAGGGAAAGGAAACGTTGAATGTCTCCCACTTTAAAGCAAAAACTAGAAATCATTAAGCTTAGTGAGGAAGGTGTGTCTAAAGCCAAGACAGGACAAAAGCTAGGCCTCTTGCACCAAATGGTTACTTGGCGTCAGTGCTGCTGCACACTTAATAGACTACAGTACGGTGTAAACGTCAAGTTCATATGCACTGGGAAACCAAAAAGAAATTCATGTAACTTGCTTAATTGTGATATGTGCTTTATGGTGGTAGTCTGGAACCCAACTGGCAATATCTCTGTTTTATGCCTACAATTCTATTCTTGCAGCCAAGACCACAGTCTTAGCCCATCAATACACTTTATAGAAAAAGAGCCTAGCATAATGGCTATCTTTACTTCTCTCTTCTCCCGTCATTAAAGAGTGGGAAAGGGGCAGCATTTGCTAACAGTTTTATAACACTCTATAAGAAATATACACATGTGCACACAGATGGTTCATTACCAATTCAGATTTCATAATCTGTAGAATTTCTCTCAGTACTCAATTTCATTATTCTAAAGAAGACTGCCTATTCCATTAGCGACCTAATTTTCACTTATTTTTCTGAGTGTAAACAGACTGTGTAGCAAAACTCATCTTGTCATCACACTTTTTTAGCAAATCAGCACTCGGCTGAGCACTGCCCACTACTGTTAGTGCTAACAGCGACATCTACTGGTGAGTTCACTACAGGACTGTTAAAACTGTAGAAACTGAAACAAAATTAAAACTTTCTCAATTTCTTTTTACAGTGAAGAAAAATAATGTTTTTATGACATCAACTTTTGTGCAAAGGAATATTGATACAAACAGTGCAGAACAAGGTATATAGCTTCTCTTCATTACAAGTACCTTAAAATTTTGTTTTACCATCTGTATCTTAACTGTGCGTGTGTCTGTGTGTGTGTACTGGGGGTATGGAGGTAGGATTTAGTGACAAAACATGAAGAAATATATTTGGTGAGTCAAGTCCCATGGTCAAAGCGAATAGTTATTGGGTAAAAGCTAGGCAGGAAGTAAGTAGGCAACTCACTGACTATTATGACTTTGATTAGCGAATATTAACTCCTCATTTAATCATGACTTTAGAAAATAAGCATTAAACTAGTAAGAAATAGAGAGGAAGAAGTATTTCACTAAGATATGTTGACCCTTTAATTCTGTTCTTTTAAGGTCCCGTGAAACATTCTGAACACATTCTAAGACCTGCTATTTTACAGCCACCTCAAGCTCAAAGGTGTTTAAAAGTAAGAAAATCATTTGGACGCAATATGTTGGAATCCTGCAATACTAAAGGAAAAGATGAAAGTAAGATAAGGAAACCTCCCGTGGTAGGATTGACATCAATTCCCCATCCTTCTTTTGGTACATTGCCGTGGGCGCCCACATCCAGAATCAGGGGCTGCCTGAGTCTTGGCGTGTTGTTGGAACAGCCACCAGGCTGGAGAGACAGCTGGACAAGATAGCGAAAAGCCCTCAGTAACCTTATTAAATTTGTCCACCTAAACTGGAGGGTTGTTCCTGGGAACAAGTCTTGTGGTCTCTCCTAAGCTGTGAAGCTGAGTCCTGTGTAGTGAGGGACCCTTGGGTCTTGTTCTGGTGCACTGATCCCCTGTAAAAAAAGGGGGGCATTGAGGTGGGAGGGGCTGGGAGTCAGAAGTCAAAAAAAAGAAAGAGATTTCTTTGTATCCCCAACTGGTCGATATGCTGGTGTGGCTCTGCCAGTTTAGGTCACATTAGGGGTCCACTCCAGATCCATCTTCATGGATAACAGGAGCAAGGAACCACCTACACAGTGTAACTGGGAAGGCTTGGGAAACCTCTGGAGACAGAGGCAAATTCACTCTTCCAAATGAATCACTCATGGTGGGCCTTTCTAAGGAGATACTCATTTTGCTCAGGCCATGCAGATATGGGCTTGGGGATGTTCTGTTGCTACAGTTCTAGCTGTGTCTTCCAGAAGCAGGCACTTGAAAGGAAGGGAACACAAGATCAAAGGGTTGGAATTTGCAAGTTATTGCATCCATCATTTGTTCCAGCTAAATTACTGAGGGCTGATCAACCAGTTTTGTTTTGTTTTCCCAGACTGAGCATGAGAACAGTGACACACAGAAGTGTTAAAAACACAGTCACTTAATCAAGTCAGTGAAAAAAATCAAATTGGTATTAATCATACCTCTGCCACTATCTGTGTTTGCATTTTAAACAAAGCATCCAACCTTCTCCTTTTCATCAGTGAAGTGAGGGAGTTGAACGTGGTTAGCGTTTGCCAATTATTTTTATATTTCCAAATCTTTTTCTTTGTAAGACATGATTTCACGAAACCCATTAGGAATTTTAAACGTCATTTCATCATTTATGTGTGATATCTAATGTGATTTTTCAGTAAAACATGTTTTAAATTTCAAACCGGTATATTATTAAACATTTTCATTTAAATATAATCTAATAATCATTACCATATTACATAATTTACCTATTTAAGAAGTGATGCATGTTGTTTATTCTAAAGTATGTAAGAAAAAGTATGATGTATTGATTAATTTCTAAATGTTTTATTTGATTTTGGGATGGCATATTCTATAAATTATAAATTAGAATTTTTATTACACATTATGATACCAAAAGTTGATAAATATTTATTTTTTGGCATGATTGTTTTTTAAATCTTGCATTGTTTGTTTTTAAAATAAAATTTATTAAAGTATTGCTTATATTTTCTTCCTAAATAATAAAGCATAAGAAAAATTTTCAGGCTACTGTTTACAAGCATTTCTGCTTGAATAACTTATTAAGGGCATGAGTAGAATTTATTCCTAATTAGTGGAAAGCCTAACTGGATATGCCATTATTGAATTTCCCCTGTTAACGAGGATTTTGGAAGATCTAAAGACATAGATGCTATGTCAGAATTTTGACAAAATGATGTAATCTATAGATCTAGTGAAAATTACCTCTAAGTGAATTTTACAGAGCCCATATTTTTATCTTCCTTATTAATTTGTACATCAAAATTAGAGCAATTTTCATCCATCCTGTCACTAGTCAGTGGTTACTCATGTATAACTTAAATTATATATGCCTAATAAAAACTGTTTTAGGCAACATAAGAGTAACAAGCTACCATTTTGGCTGAGAGATAAATCATTTAAGTGACTGAGCCATAAGCAAGTAGTCTGATCTTTGCTAACCAAAGGCACATGCTCCCTTGACACATATTTCTCAGCTCTCAAATTGCTATAAAGAGAAAAATACTCAAAATTATTTTTATTGATTGATATAAAATTAAAATGGAAGCAGACTTTAAAGGTATGAAGTCCCTGCAACACCTCTGAAAATCCCTGGTGGAAGAAGAGATGTGTCCACAAAACACTGAGGACACTAGATCAGATGACTGATAGGGTTCTTTCCAGTTCTAAAATTGCTCGCTCCTTCATTTGTACATTAATGCAGGTAAAGTGCATATGCATATACACATCAGACAGAGTAACTCACTGATTAAGTTACCAGTGGGAAATCTCCAGAGGAAGAGATGGAGTTTTCTCCCATGTTGGGTGGCCATGATGGTGAAACTCTTAGGGTGTTTCCAGGGATTAAATAGTCCTGAGAGATATATTTACTAATCTAGAAATGAGAATTAACTTTGTTTGGCTAAAAAGGTAAAGGTAACAAAAGGAGGTGGAATTTCTGACTATTAACCCAGCCTCTGGTGTCAGGGAGACCCAGGCTCGAATGTCAGCCCCCTTCCTGGTTGCCCAGGCCTGGCCCAGTTATTTAAGCTTGATAGATCAGTTCACTCACTTATAAAATGTACATAATAAAAATACAAAGTGTGTAGAATTGTTTTAAGGATTATATGAGATGATATACAATGTTTAGGGCAGTACTTGAACATAGTAAATTTCAATACATTTAACTATAACTATCGTTTCCTTGTCTGATGCTCCTATATATAGTAAGGCAATTAAAATGAACTTTTTGTTGGACTTTTTTTTTCTTTCAGATTTCTGAGGGAAACTCTTATTTGCTAAGTGAGAATTTACCAAGTGCCAGAATTTCAGTCCAGCTATCTACTAACCAGAATGTTTTAGGTGCTACATCAGTGGGGTAAGTTAATGATGAGGAAACAGAAATGTTCTTTCATTCTTGCTTTCTTTTATCATCATAACTTCTTATGGAAAATAATTTTCTGACATTGTACAGATGAACTGCCAAGTTCTGTCTGAAGGGAGATTTTATAAAGAATACACATTTTAAGTGCTTTTCAGAATGTTTCTAATATTTAAATACTATATTGATACTGGGTCATCTCTATTGTCTCATTGACTTGGGTAAGAATGTTACAAACAGGTACAGCTAAATTTTCACTATGGTTAGGCATTAATTATCTGTCTACTAGATTAGCCGTCCCCCCTCTTCCCCTGGTGTTCTTTCTTTCCCTTCTTTTTAATTATTTCTGGCATTATGACTTATTAACATAGGTTGGAAAGACAACAAAGAAAGCAGTAGAAATGTGCAAAATGAAAGTTAGTATTTACTAGTATCTCCTGTGATGAGGGCATGTTTGGTCTGAGAGAAGATTACAACTAGCTGTGGACATAGCTGGGCTCACGATTAGCGCCCATGCAGGTGCCTCAACACTTACCTCCTGTCCACGCTGGGGATGCTATGGGGATCCCAGAGCACATCTGCTGACAAATAGAGGGCTGCATGTCTTTGAGTTTCCCATTATGCAAAACACTTTAAACATTTAAAAACAAGTTTCTGGGAGGGAAAAACCAAATGAAACCACTGCACACTCAAGTGACCGGCAAGATAGACTGGCTTTGCTTTTCCCTGAGACTATAGATCGCTAAAGCATTGGCCAGCTGGGGAGGAGGAAAGTGGAGACTGGAGGCTGGAGAGTCAGTGCTGGAAAAGCAAAAAGATAAGGAAGGGTTGGGCAGCTCCCCCGGTTGATCACACAGTCAATACAGTGATGGGCATAGGGCCTGTCTCGACTGGGTTTGGCCGGTGCTGTTAACAGCTGCCAAACATTTTGAATATCATCCCTGGAAGTACCTATCTCAGTTTTGCCTTCATTCTCATTAACTTTAGATAATGTGGTTACCAGGGGGGTAGAGGGTGGGAAGGGATAGACTGGGATTTCAAAATTGTAGAATAGATAAACAAGATTACACTGTATAGCACAGGGAAATATACACAAAATGTTA